TCAAACATTTCCTACGCACAGCTTCGAGAAAAATTATACGAACGCCTCGGAGGGCATGTGACGAATCTGAAGTATCGAGATGACAATACCATGGAGCTTCTTGCACTCAACGATGATAACGACTTAAATTACGCGATAACTAGTTGTCCAAAATTATTACTTTACGCGGATTAAAAATGACAATTTATTTTAATACACTAATAATGTATAAAAAAAAAAAAAAAAAGAAAGAAAAAAACAAGTAGACATATAAAAAATGTTCATAAGAAGAGGAATATCCATCCATGATTGACGAAAACCTTTGTTTCGACTGGCGCAAGTTATCCGTGCTACATTAATTGGCGAAGCTGTAAATTATAATAGAGTATGTTCATTTTATTTATTGAATTATCGAATGTCCACCGACACAACTTTATTCAAGTTCAATGAATCGGACGTTCTTTGGGGTTATACCAGCAATTTTTCGAATTTCTTCTACAATCTTTATACATATTTTGCATAATCATTATTTTTTTTTTGCACTTGTATTTTTTTTGACCCTTAACATTTTTACGAATTAGCAACAAATTTTGTTGCGTGTATAAATAGAAATTCCTATATCGTGTTATCCTATACCATTTACTTTAAAAGATTCTTAGAAAATTGTCATTGCTTAAAGTTTTTTCTGCGGAGGTTTATCATTATTTATTTTGTAACGTCTAACCTTGTAGATGAGAACAAATATATGTATTCCATAATATCACGTTAGTTGTACCATTATTTATATTGAGTCGACATTTTTACAGGTGTTTGTGTGTCTCACAATTGTTTCATTTCGGGAAAATTTCAACGATGATATACCGATACGCGCTTAAACTATGATGTTATGGACTTGGCAATTTATTTCATTTCCTGATTGATTTAATTGAATGTAGGACGAACATTTCATAATAAGAGCTGCACAAACGGTGATTTACAAGTTTTATTAAATTTCATTTATGTGCAAAAATCGACATTATACAGAGGAATTAGCTTTGTGGTGTGTAAACAATACAATATTAAATTTACCGATCGTTATTTTTTAATAATAGTAATTTATTTTATATTACCTGATTATTGATGGTAACGAATGTTTGAATTATCATTACTATTCTTTATAAAGTATAAATTAAGTCCTGTTTTCGTATGTTTGAACAAGATAATATCAATAATAAAGTATCGTGAAGCGCAAAGAGATCTGAAGTGGATGGAAACTATGAGATGGAGGTATAACAAGGTTCTTAAGATGGTGCAGGACGATGGAGTCACTGACATGAGCGTCATACGAAAGCACTAACTGAACGATGAGTGCTTCACAAAAGAGACCTCTAGGGAAGTACGTTTGTACGCAATTCGACAATTGATGACCGCATACAAAACAAACAAGAAGTTGTATGGAAATAGTTTTCGAATGAAGTAGGAATTGGAATAGGAACAAAGGGAAATACGCGTTCCTAAAAAATATTATTACCTCAGAATAATCGCCAGGTATTTAAAAATTCCGTTTCTTTGGTAACCAAGATGATGTTCGGGGAATGATAATTTCTCTCGATCCAGGTGTTCGCACGTTTATGACCAGTTATGACCCTGACGATCAATTAATCGAGTAGGGCAATGGTGATCTAATAAAATATTTAAATTATCCAAGAGATATGACAAATCACAGAGCTGCTTTGGTAATTTAATCAATGGGCGGCATCTGTCGGTTATGTCAAAATCACGTGGATCATTCTTTTACCCAAGTTTGAGATCGAGTATCAAAAGACTGCTTATACAATGCTAACTTGGGTCACATTTCAGGTTTCGGATGTTCTTACTGTACATCATAAATTGAGAGTGTTCAGAGGTTGGTTGTCAAGGTCATTGAATACACCAAAGACATGTGAGAATCGTGGATTCGCAAAAAATGATCTCGATGGGTCAAAAACGTTTAAATGTGATTCGTGCGAGGTGGAGATGGATCGGGACACGAATGGTGCCAGAAATATCTTACTAAAATATTTAACGAAGGGTTAGGTTTAGCCTGACTTTGGGACTTGAGCTTATATGGATACGACAAGCATAGTAATGACTAGCTTTATTTATTCAATTTCAAGGGCTCGGCCTAATTCGGTGTCATAATCTAAGGCACATGTACATACAATTGACGCATATAATAAACTGTATATTTGCAATTAAATTAGTCTTTTTTTTTTTTTTCATTTATTATATACTGTGCAGAAATACTTTGTAAGATAGGTGCAGAAATATTTGGCATACAAAATTTACATCCACAATCCAACGGGGGAACATAACCCATACATAATTCTTTATTTCTAGTCTGTCCGTCAAAATTATATCAATGAAACTGACGGATTCCTAATGCTTTTTGGAATAGGTGACATGGATCGAACATGTTATGTTACATGCTTTATCGAATGGAGCTCCGGGCTTAACAACGGTTCCTGTTTCCTTAGTGATATGACATTATTCAAAAAATAGAATTTGTTTTTTTCTTTCTTCACATAGAAAATACTAATATAAAAAAATAAAATAAAAAATAGAATACTGTATGTAGAAAGTGTAGAAAGTAGTTTGTATATTAATTATCATTATATTAAACCACAAATTTAATTCAAACATCTATCAATATCAACTTATTATCATTGAATTAAAGTATTTTTTATAAGCTTTTTAAAAAAGCAATTCTATTTATACAGTATATATAGTGGAAATAACATAATTATGTTATTTCCATGGCTTGATAACAAAAATTAGCCGCAGTTGTCATGTGATCTGATGATAGAAATTGATCACTTTGATGGATAGATAGCTTGTATACCTTTTAGAAAGTCAAATTTGATATTGTTAATGTTTTAATTAGTTATCTAAATTTTTATATATTAGCTTAATGTTTTTAATTAATTTCCATTGAATAGAAATATTTAATTTAAATTATGACACTTCAGATGTACTCCTTCTCTATTACTTTTAAAAACTTAAATTCAATAATGTTATTTGTATACTGATTTAATAATTATAATAAATTTTTTTTATTATAAATAAATTTCTATTTATTGCTATCAAATATATTATATTTTTGTTATTGAATATGCTATTATATATATATATATATTGTCATCTATCGTTTCTACCTCTGGAGAAAGATAAAGACAGAGAACTAGTAACAGGAAGGCACTTTAGATGGACAGGGCCAATGTGGTATACTAAAGTTCCTAGAGGTGTACAAATTAGTACAGTTCTGAGATGTATGAGGTCAGGCGAAAGAGGCAATGGTGATTTGTTTTTCAAAGGTCAAGTT